TTCGAACGACAGCGAGGAAGGAGAAGAATTAAATTTACGCTTGGTGTTAACAAAATTATAAAACTGTTTCGGGTCCTGAGAAAACTGGGCCTTACAACGGTTTAAGTAACTATTATAACACTGAGCATTAAGCACGGTAAATCTTGACCGAGCACTTAAATATCTAGTAAAAACAGATTGAGAACCGGTATTTTTATATTTCCTAAAAAGTCTGGACTTTACATTTCTTAAGTGTGTCAACTCTTTGCTAAACCAAGGTGATTTAGTGGAAGTTGACGGATAGTACCACGGAACACAGGAATTAAAAAATGAGTTTATTGCAGTGTAAAAAACATTAACTGCATCGGACATGTTATTGCATAAGTAAAGATCAGACCAATTAAAGCCAGAAATAAAATTATTAAGCCTCAGAAAGTCTGCCTTGCGAAAACAATGCATTCGTTTGGATTTTTCTGATTTTTCTTCTATAACTCTACCCGTATCAAATGAAAGTTCGATTGTTGGGTGATATGGATCTTCAGGAAACACACCTTCAGGATTTGATATTTCGAACATGGTTTACTTGAGATAGAGATATGTCAAGCAGGCCATCAATAAAATCATGCTGTGCTATAGGTAGTAAGACATTCGATCCATCCTCAGTGGACCAAGTAACTCCAGGTATTTTAAAATCACCTAGAACTATCAACTGAGCCCTATCGGAAAGCTTATTTGCAACGGACTTAATAACGGATAGGTGATTCAAATAATCAGGAAGTTCAGACAACGGCGGAATATATGAGCAAGTTATGTATATAAAGTTACCAGGAAGCGATAACTTTACACAAATAAATTCTATGGTATTGAATTCATCAAAAATAACTCCTCAGACGGGAAGTTTGAATCAAATCCAATTAAGACTCCACCTCAACGTCTAGAGGGACGTGGACCTATATATTGTATACTTACCTGGAAAAACTTCGGAGCTAAAGATCTCCGGCTTTAACCAGGTTTCTGTGAACACAATAATATGAAATGCAAAGGAAAGGCTATCGGAATACAATTTAGTGAGTTTGCTACGCAAACCTCTTGCATTCTGATAGGAAAGAAGGAGGTTAGAAGTTAGTTTTTTGAAATTGGTACACTGGTTTGGCCTCTATTAGGAATTTTTACTCCCACGGGCCCCTTCTTCTTTATCTTAGCCTCGAACTCTTTTACAACCATATTATCCGGCCAAAAGTCGCCCGAGCATATGGCTTTAAAAAACTCGTTAGGGACAGTTATCTTGAAAGATGAAATGTCTCTAGCATAAGAAAACTTAAACTTTTCCACCTTTACACTATTACAATCGGCTTTAGTTTTGTCTTGTATATAAGACAATACATCAGAAGATGTTTGTTCAGGGGAAAGCCGAGAAACGAAAATTTGTTTCTTTAGTGGAATTGTTTCTGCAAAACCAGCTTGAGCCGGTTGTCCGGACTCAGTAGTCCCTTGTGGTGGTGATGCTACATTCTGAGAGATAGGTGGATCCACTAATTGTGAAACCACTACGGACAAATCGGAATTCTTAGAAGTCCCTGGTTGCATGCATTCTGTAACGGATTGTTCGGATACCGAATCTTTTTTAGCTGCTGATCTTAGCAACATTTGAGGGTTTGCTGAAATCAGCTGCTGATCCGCCGGAATGCTCTGTTGTTCTTTTGATTTCGGTTGCGGGTGTTCCCCTTTTGCTCCTTACCACCAGCGGCCTTTTTGCGCTTAGGGGACTCTTCTAATAGCTTACGACTATTAAACTGCGAGTCCAGCGCAGAGAGGAGATCATCAGCTCGGCGAAAACTATCTCTAGCAACTCCGAAACAGTTAATCAGCCCCATCAGGCCGCCTTTAGTTTGGCGCATGAACGATTTCATCTCGTTCGCAACCTCGACACAAGCGTCACAACAAAACTGCAAATTGGGCCCCTTTGAAAGGTCATCACTTGTCCGGCCAGTAAAACCAGCGCACCATATTTTCACACAGCCAGCAAGTCATATTAGACTGGTCAGCCCTGATTACGAGGCTGCATTTTTTGCAGAAGCAGACTAAATTTTTATTATTCATTTTATTTATTGGGACCACTGTACCAAGAAAGCGGATTGAAAAGTATAAGCGAGCAGTTATAAGTACCGCAAGAGCGCAGAAACTGCACGCTTAGAACTTTCAAAGCAAAGAGAGCAAGAGAGCGGGAGCGTAAATAAGTTAAAGTGCATGCACAAAAGAGAAACGGCGGGGATATAAATAGGATAGAAAACACAGATAAGAATAATAATAAGAATTTATTAGTATTAATACAAAGTGCACTCGCGAAGCGAACGGAGTTTAAATTTATGTTTAAATAACCGAAAGAAAATTTAATGTTGTTTTTATAAAACCCACCGATGGGAATAAACGAAAACAAAATACAAAATTCGAAGCGCAGAAAAAAAACACGACCGTTCACTTTGAAAGTCAAAGACAATATTTGTAGTGTTATTGAATTACTCGAGGTTATACGTTGGTTATATTTTAATTTCTTCTATAACACAACGATTTATTCCATTTAACTTTCATCACACTTACACTCCCTGGGGAGTGAACACGACTATGATAGGACTAGCTAGTTTCGTTGGGAAGTTTCTGATGCTCTGCTTCCATCCCCGTAGATAGCTGATGAGTCTGAAGTGACATATATTTAAAGAATATTCATGTCAAATTTCAAGTAAACCGACTGATTAGATCTTGAGATATAGTGGCGACCGCATAAAAAAAAGAAGTTTTGAGAAGAACGTGTTTAAAGTTTTACGTTAAGTTTCGGGCAGCGTAACTGATAGAATATTACGTATAAATAACATTCCCTTAATCAGCTATCCCAGCTCCATACAATGATCTTCAAACGATTTGTGTAGTATACTGAAAATAAGGGTATTGTTATAGAAAGAAGGAGAGAAAGTTATTCATACTAAGGTAGCCCGGGCATCCAGCCATTTATTGTTCCAGTCGTTCGCTCAACCGGTCTAGTGGCCACGTCACTAAAACGGCTATAACTTTAAAAAAAAATTTGAGTTTTGAAAAATCCTTTTAGGGAGATATTTTTAAATATCAAAACTATCGAATTATGATAAAATTTTTTTTTTCGATTTTCTCACATTTCTAGACTAAGTATACTACACCTACAAAAAACAGCTGATTGCAATTATATTCATTGGTGACCGCTTATGCTCTTTGTTAGGATTTTAAAATTTGATTGGTAATAACTAAAAGCTTTAAAACAAGACTTAAATTACTAAATTCAACTATTTTTTTTAGATTTTATATACATATAATATCAAATACGGAACTAACACTTTGTAAAAATATATAAATTTAGGTCTGCTCTTTACAAGACTCAACTTAAAACTCCAACTTATAAATTACGCTGACGCTTAGCAAACCTTGGATGGGGAAAAAAGAACGCAATTGATAAATTGAGAGTGTCCAAAATGAGAGCAGTGAGCATCAGAGCGTCGGCAATTTTACAGTATTGGGGGATAAAAGCTTTTTAATGCTTGGGGACATTTGTTTATAACGCAACAGGATGTTTACATTAATTGGCCACTCGTGGGAGCCGATAATTTATGGTTCTTTGTTTACTGTGTCAAATGCGTAGTGTGAATGTGCTTATGTGATAGATATGTGGGTGTAGATATGCTACTTTCCCATCCATTAGAAAACAGCCTGTCCTCAGGCGGACATTTTGTTATCCGGTTCAAAAATAAATAATGATGACGGCTTTCCCACACGCGAACAGGCTACGTATAACTGCCCATGTGAACAACATTGATATTCCAGATTAATCCCGCAGACATCCAACAATTGGCCTTGCGATTTATTGATTGTCATAGCAAATGCCAATCGAAGTGGGAACTGAATCCTCTTGAATTGGAATGGAAGATCTGTTGGAACCGTTGCATAATCTCGGATGATTTAGATTCCGCAGCATTATATAAATTGATCCCACTGTTGGGCCACTATTGAATCTTGAGAAAAACATGAATGTAATTTTGAAGTATTAATTTTTCTTGAAGTGTATGGATCTAATTTGTTAACCTGAGCTGCGCTCTCAGTGGTAAAGCTTAAGTTCTCGCTCTCATGTAATTCACCACACTGGCCACGAAGGCTATTATCCAACGTAAGAATAAAGAGTTCAATTTTGGTACTGCGACAAGACGGTTGGATTTGTTTCATTAACTTAACTATCCCCCCGACTCCCTACAGTCTCATGTGGGTCAGGAAAACGCTCCTGCTCCATCAAACATTTTGGCGCCCAACGTGGGGCAGGATAGTTAATTTAAAAAATTAAAAAATTAAAAAAAAAATCCTTAGTGTTCAAGTCAACCTGATCGCCCAAAGTTAATTCCGTAAGCCGCGCATTGTTACGTTACGATTCGCCCTACTTCATATGTGATGCGCTGCTCAACGTTCACCTAACGACACACGCACACTTACATCCGTAGACACGGCAGTACAACCCCCATACACCATCGTTGGAAGGCGCGGGTTGCTCAGAAGATCTGGATTACGCTACGCTGTTCCCAGTCAGCTACGCCACTTATATTCTCGATTGCGGAGCCGAATCTCCATCGCCCCATCGACAATATCATCTCTAACCTGGAAAATCGTTTTGCTGGACTACGTAACGCCACAACGGTAAGGTTACGTCATCAGTGCCAACGCTGCCAGAGCTCTCACGCCAATCGCTGAGTCTCCTTTGGTCTCATTCCGCCGTCACTGTAGTGCTTTTGGTCTAAACCTGCAAGTCCACTGTACACGCGTACAGTCACCACGAGTGCCAATAGCAGTCACCGCGCAACGCATCAACCTGGAACTGGTTCATTGCGGAACCAAAGCGCTGCCATATATTGAACTACACAAGTTGGCAGCATACGTCTATAACCACACCAGAAGCTCTAATTTATAATTACATACACTTTACAAGGGCTTATTGTAAGTAAATCACAATAACCATGTGTCCCACACCGCTAGACGTATTAAAACAAAAGCGATCTAACATACGCAGGAGCATTTCCCGCATTGGAGCAGCAGTCGCCAAGACGGAGAAGGTTGAGAAGCCAAATGCCGCGCTGACGCCAGCCGAACTCACGTGTCGGCTAACTATTTTGGAGGCCTACTTCAAACAAATCATGGCCGTCCAAACCGAAATCGAGGCACTCGACTCAACCGAGGAACAGCTAAACTACCGGGCCGAGCTGGAAGATCTGTTCATCGCTACAAAGGTGACCATAAAGGATCAGCTTGGAGACGACGTGCACAATTCTACGCCGCTCGCCCAAGACACGCTACTCAGGCCTGGACCAACATCATCTCTTAAGCTACCAACTCTTGCGCTCCCGACCTTTGCTGGCGAGTACGCGGAATACAGAAATTTTATTACTACGTTCCTGCAAGTTGTAGATCAGCAGGAAGCGCTATCGCCGATCGAGAAGTTTAATCACCTCATAAACTGTCTCAGAGGCGCCGCCTTAGAAACCATCAAGGCGTATCAAGTCACTCCAGAGAATTACAGCAAGGCCTTACTTCGCCTAAAGAGCAGGTACGATAACCCCACCATCGTATTCCTGGACAACATAGCGTCACTCTTCAAATTGCCAACTGTGACCACCGAAAATAGTGTACAGTTGCGCAGCCTGGTTGACAACGCATCAGCGTTGTTTAACTCGTTGCGATCTTTAGGATCCGAAGCACAGATAGCTCAAACGATGTTGATTGCTATTGTCATGGAAAAGGTAGATAAGAGAACCCGGCAGCTCTGGAACGAATCTCTTACGTTCGCAGCACTACCCTCTTGGAATGCCTGCCTCTCCTTGATTGAACGGCACTGCCAACACTTGGAGTCCTCAATACATCACATCGGCAATCCGAATACAGCTCAAAATACATCCGGCAGAACGCGACAACCGCAAGCTCCACGCATGGGCCACAGCTTTACGTGCTCCACGCAAGCGTGTCCTATATGCTCTGGCAGGGATCATCGGATTTTTAGATGTTCGCGACTGCAAAACATGTCGCCTGCCCAACGTCTAGAAGCTGTCCGGACAAAATCGCTGTGCACAAACTGCCTTGGAAAGGCTCATCATCCGTCAAATTGTCCATCTTCAAATAGGTGCAGAATATGTTCACGGCTGCATCACACTATGCTTCACTTCGATCCGTCAGGACAGGAATCCAGGAGTCCTAGGCGGCCAAGTCCGACTAACGCGCCACCTCAGCACCATGTCGCTGAGGCCGTCGCTCACGCACACGTGGATACCCACCACGACCAAATCATTCTGGCTACAGCCATAATACTAGTGCAGGATGCTGTGGGCAACTACGTACCAGGACGTGCACTACTGGACTCTTGCTCCCAAGTTAACTTCATGTCCGAAGACTTCGCTCAACAACTTCGTTTGCCCCGAAGCAAGGGACTTATCGACATTCGAAGCATTGGCGATTCTTTCACCCGCATCAAGCATCGCATTTCGACCGTTGTAAAGTCACGATTCGGTGAAGCAGAGTTACCCGTCGAATGCTGTATAACCTCGAGAATCGCCTATCAACCCGATGCAGAAATCGACATTTCATCATGGAGCCTCCCAGACAACGCTCCACTGGCTGATGAGAGATTTTATCAGTCTCGCCATATCGACCTTCTTCTTGGCACAGAAACGTTCTTCACCGCTTTGTCTATTGGCCAAATCAAGTTGGGTCCCCATCTCCCCATGTTGCAAAAGACGATCTTTGGATGGGTAGTATCAGGGCGTACCGGCAATCAAGGCCATGCCGCCCAAGCCCATAGTTTCCTTTCATCAGAGGATTCAATAAACCTGAACCTGGAGCGCTTATGGCGCATAGAGGAAGTTTCTACTACGCCATTAACACTTACTCCACCGCAAGCTAAATGCGAATCGATCTTCCAAAAATCTGTCTGTCAGGTAGCGGATGGAAGACTGATGGTTCAACTGCCCTTCAAGGATGACCCTAATCTGTTGGGAAGGTCTCTTGAAACAGCACGGCTAAGATTTGCATCGTTGGAACGTCGCTTAAGCCGAAACGCGAATTTGCGAGCCGAATACACGAATTTTATGGAAGAATATGAGCGCTTGGGTCACATGGAATTAGTAACCAGCCCACTCCTCAACGAACCCCACTACTACATACCACACCACTGCGTGTTTAAACTCAACAGCACGTCAACTAAACTAAGGGTAGTCTTTGACGCCTCGTGCCCAACAAGCACCTACAAGTCCTTAAACGACATCCTTCTAGTTGGACCCACGATTCAACCAGACTTGTTTACAATCTTACTAAAGTTCCGGACTCATCGTTATGTACTAACGCTGACGTCGTCAAGATGTACCGGCAGGTATTAATTGATCCATCGCATCGTAAATTTCAGTACATCTTATGGAGAAGCTCCAACGACCAGGAGATTCGCACATACCAGCTGAACACCGTTACTTACGGCACCGCATCAGCGCCGTATCTAGCAATTCGCAGCCTGTCTCACCTCGCCAATCAACATGCAAGTTCACATCAAATTGGAGCAGAAGCCATAAAATCGTGTTTCTATGTGGATGACTTTCTCGGTGGAGCAAATAAGCTAAATCAATTGAACCAGATTCAAACCGAAGTCATCGCTATCCTCACGGCCGGCAAGATGGAACTGGCAAAATGGCACTCCAACCATCAGGATTTCGTCAATGATACAACGGTCAAGGAGCTAAATCTCGACGACTACGCTACGACAAGCACATTGGGACTGAAGTGGGACCAACGAGAAGACATCTTCAAATTCTCATTCAACTGCAGCACAGCTCCGGAAAGTATCACAAAGCGAACCATTCTCTCGGTGGCCTCATCCCTCTTCGATCCGCTGGGACTTGTCTCGCCAGTTATTATGGTGGCAAAAATCCTTCTACAGGAAATTTGGCTTCTTAGATTGCATTGGGATGAATCAGTGCCAATGACACTCCAACAAGCGTGGCTATCGTTCGTGTCGTCGCTACAGCATTTGGACTCTCTGCTCATCCCACGTTTCTGCCTGCAGCCCCATTCAGATGAGCTCCAACTTCACGGCTTCAGCGATGCTTCAATAAGAGGGTATGGATGTTGCATCTACGCAAGAACAAGGCGTGCCGATGGCCACGTCGAAGTTCATCTAATCGTCTCAAAGTCGCGTGTGGCACCAACGAAGAAGAAGACGCTGCCGCAGCTCGAGCTCTGTGGAGCGCATCTTCTAGCACGACTCTACAACCAGATAAAGACAGCCTTTCTACAACACACGCCCGAGACGTTTCTGTGGACAGATTCACAGCTGGTGTTGCATTGGATTCGACAACATTCTGCAACACTTTCTACGTTTGTCGGCAACCGGATATCCGATATCCAAGAATTCACTCCAGACTGTCAATGGAGGTTCGTTCCGACACGGCACAACCCAGCTGACATGATCTCCAGAGGATGCAACCTTTCAGAACTCACCAACTCAACATGGTTCCACGGACCTACATTTCTATCAAATCTGCCGACATTATGGCCACCTAATGTACACGGCAATCTGGACATGGATGTCGTATTTTCAGAAAAACGCAAATCAGCATTCCTTGCATCGACATCGCCTTCCAGAAATAGAGTCTTGGAAGCCCTCCACAACAAGGAATCACACCAGTCTGGCTTAAGATTGGTAGCATGGATGCTTCGATTTTGCGACCGATGTCGGAAGAAAAACCCCTTCACTACGAGGTCACTTTCCCCACTGGAACTGCGAAGGGCCATGCTTTGCGTCGCATGGAACCTACAACAGCGATATTTCATCGAGGAAATAACTCTCTTGCAAAAAGGCGCGCCGGTTCGTAGCCATCTTAAATTCTTATCGCCCTTCTTGCAGATCAACCTACTTCTCGTCGGAGGACGATTGGAGCTCGCATCGATCCCAGACACCCACAAGCATCCTATATTGCTTCCCGCTAAGGATGTTGCTGTCGTCAACTACGTACGTCATCTACACCTGCGGAACTACCACGCTGGACCAAGGGTCCTGGTGGGACTAATGCGGCTGGAGTTTTGGGTCGTGAATGCCCGAGATGTCGCTCGTCGTGTTGTACGCAACTGTGTCCACTGTGTGCGCTACAGGCCTAAGCTGCTGCAACAACTTATGGGCAGCCTCCCAGTCGAGAGAATTACCCTGTCAAGACCATTTGCTCGATGTGGAATAGACTTCTGCGGGCCGGTTCATACTTATCTACGCGTTCGAGGAAAGGTGCCCGTTAAAAGCTACATCGCAATATTTGTGTGCTTCGCCACAAAATCGGCGCATATCGAAATCGTCGGAGACCTATCAACTGATTCGTTCTTGGGTGCTCTGAAGCGGATGATCGCCAGACGTGGTCTACCTGCAGACATCTTTTGCGACAATGCGACGAATTTTGTAGGCGCGAGTAAAAAGTTGCAAGACCTGAAGGACTTTTTCTTCAGCACCAAGAACCAGAAAGACATTATATCGTACTGTACAAACGAATTTGTAACGTTCCATTTCATACCTCCTAGGGCTCCACACTTTGGCGGCCTCTGGGAGGCTGCCGTTAAAAGCGCCAAGAATCTCTTGTACCGCACGCTCAAGGATGCCCGATTGACCTTCGAGGAGCTCTCAACTGTCGCTGCTGAGACTGAGGCGATCCTAAACTCTCGCCCGCTCTCTCCACACTCATCGGATCCCAGCGATTTGGCCGTCTTAACGCCTGGTCATTTCTTAACCGGGGACGCTCTTCGAGCACTCCCAGACTGGCCTGTCAAGGATGATCAGATCAACTGCTCTCAACGATGGAAGCGTGTCAAGCAACACATCTGGAGGCGCTGGTCTACGGAGTATCTTCACGAGCTTCATGCCAAATCAAACTGGACGACTGGATCTTCAAATATTGCAGTCAACGAAATGGTCCTAATCCACGAAGATCATGTCCCTCCTCATCGATGGCTGTTAGGTCGCATCGAAGCAACTATACCAGGTCAGGACAACCACGTCCGGGTCGCGGATGTTCGGACGTCGAAAGGAATCATAAGGCGACCGATTCACAAATTGGCCCGTTTACCAATTAATTTAAAGTAACTAGGTACTTTCAATGGGGCCGGAATGTTGGGCCACTATTGAATCTTGAGAAAAACATGAATGTAATTTTGAAGTATTAATTTTTCTTGAAGTGTATGGATCTAATTTGTTAACCTGAGCTGCGCTCTCAGTGGTAAAGCTTAAGTTCTCGCTCTCATGTAATTCACCACACTGGCCACGAAGGCTATTATCCAACGTAAGAATAAAGAGTTCAATTTTGGTACTGCGACAAGACGGTTGGATTTGCTTCATTAACTTAACTATCCCCCCGACTCCCTACAGTCTCATGTGGGTCAGGAAAACGCTCCTGCTCCATCAAACACCCACTTTCAGCTGCAAATTATGCGGCGGAGTTCCTGGCACATCCTGTGAGTTCAAAAATTCCTTCGGATAGTTGGTCGCTTCATCCTCGTCGGTCACGCTGTCAACGGATCTGTATGAATGCAGTTCCCCAGCGATTTAACTTTGAATAACGAAATTCAAACTATCTACGTCCCTCGTTGTTCTCCGTTCTGCTCTTTGCGCTGCGTTCGCGTCCGTAAAGTAGACACGCTGGCCGTTCTCCAAGTGAACAGTTAAGTGCACGACAGTCGGGTGACTTTCATGAATCGGAAATGAAAATAGACGCCAAATGGCCTCGTTACAACTAACGTAGCGTCCAAGTTGAAATTTCGTCACCTCATCGTTTGCATTCGGATCAGCAATGCCAAACACCGCAATGTCGCTCCCTCTGTTCACATATTTGCATTTGATGGATTTGATAGAGTTGCAGTACTCAACATTGCAATGCGTTAAGAACGTTTTCGACAAAAGCGGGCAATATGGAACGATCCAGCGGTTATCCACGATTACTGTTATGTTTGTTTCGTTACATTTCTCCATTACTTCGATCCATTTGCCGTTGCCATCTGGAGAACGACGCCTATACTTTGGATATCCATCGTGTCCACTGATTGTTTCAGCCGTCAATGGACGGGGAAATCGTTTTGTGCAGTTTCCGTTATCCATGCATACTGATTCTGGGTTGTGGACTCCGCAAGGGCCATGGATCATGTTCGTTGTCACAATGGAATGCAGCTCGGGATCAGTTTGTTTATCTGGTATTTCGGCTGAAATAATCTAATCAATTTGATCTGGTCGGATCTTGTCGAACATCCAAAGCAGAATGTGCGCAACCGAGTACATCCAACAACGAACTGCGCCAAAAACCTTCTGCTTAACGATTTTATTCATAAGTACTGTGATCTTTTGCTTGAATACTCGTGCAGTGATGTCAGGTCGATCGCTAGATGTTTGTCCTGGAAGCAACAGATTCGTAATTTCGGGCCATTTCGGATTGCATGTGAACGTGAGGAATAAATCCGGGCGTCCGTAATTACGGACATACGTCATCGCATCTTATCAGAATGGTCAAACAACCGATGTTGACCGCGTGTCCTTCAGTAGCGATGGCGTCACGCAAGTGGATGTACTCGTCTGAGCGCAACTTCGACTGATTGAAACGAATGAAGTTGAGACGCTCCGTTTCTACTTTGACGTACATGTCGACACAGTACTGTTGAAACAAACGGCGGTATCTCAACAGATGATTGTCAACATCTAGTCGAATCATCAATCGAAACGCATAAAAATTTGAACAATCTGACCAATTCATTACGCTCATGCAGAAGATTTTGCAATTGTTGTATAATTTCACGTTTAGTTGCAGTGAAAATTGCACAACGCTGATTTAGTTCATCTTCCGAATCACCAATGAAGTAGATCTGAAGGAATTTATGATCTTTGTTTGGTGGTGGTAACAAAGCGCCCGCTCGATGGTGAATTTGCCCTTGAATCTGAATGTTGGGATGCAATTTTGAAAAAATGAGATAATAAAGCGACGCCATTACCTTATAACTGGGATTGTAGCCCGGTTGATGAACAACCTCGGCTCCAAATGACGTCATTTGAAAGCTTTAGGAAGCTGTTTGATTGGGCTGAATTTCCATATAGTTGCGAATACAATGGCTCTGGTGGATGAGCCAAAACGGGCAATTTAATTTTGCCACCTGCACAGCATAAGCCGGGAGTTTCCAATCGAAACTTCTGTGCATTGCAATGCTGACATACGACAGACAATGAACCAATAACAACGCAGCTATGATCTTTGTAGGGTGTTTCGGAATTGTATGCGAATGCAGCGCGATTCAAGTTATCATTTGCGGCTGGTTTCTTCTACTCACATTTGACGGGCTTGAGGTGGTCTTTGTGCAGCGCGAAGCTGTGCAATTCGGGCGCGTGCCGATGCATTTATTTCTCCACGTACCTCTTGCGTTTGATTATTACGGACATTCTGACAATGTATCGCATTTCGTGAACGCCGTCCAAGTCTTGATCTCAAAGCAGGCATTATTTCCAATTAAAGCTTTGGCAATGTTTCGTTAACTCGATTTTTTACAGTTTTATGTACAACAATGAAGGCATTATTTCCAAAGCCTGCTGTTTAAACAGTTTTATGTACAACAATGAATACATCTCTTGAGCCGATAGCGACTTTTCCGGCAGGTTTTCCCAACATTTTCTTATGCATTAACCTTCTTCTGGCAATTACAAACAACTGAAAAAAATTTTAGCCAAATCGGCCCAGCCGTTCTCTTGTTTTGCGATGTCGTACATTTTTTGCACCATTTATATATATATATGTAGATTTCAATGTTTTTCGGAATGCTCTTTAATTTATAAATGCTTTTTTTTTTTTCGTATGTATTTCTATTATATCTTTTGCTACTAGTGATATTGGTTCTAACATTGTTACATTATTGTTTACATAAATAGTTTGGGTGGAATCCATTATAGTATTTGTTTGCTTGAAAAAATTGGTAAAATTGTATTTGGTAAATTCCAAGTAATTTTAATATTTGGCTCTATATAATTTGTTTCATTTTTTCGGCATTGGCTTGGTTTAATATTCCTATAATGCATTTATTTTTAACTCTTTCTTTTAACTCTTTGCTTTATCTAATTTTTTCACAAATTTTTGCATAAACATTGTCAACAAACTAAACTTTCAGAAAATATAATCTTTTAATAAAAAAATTGCTACATTCATAAAAAATCCAAACTTTCCTATTTTTTTCGACAAAAAAGGTAAAAATATAACCCCTTCAATGAAAGTGTTTGATTATTTTGAAAATAATACTTGTCTTCTAAAGGTTCCGTTAATATGTCATTAAATTAATTTGGGTAAGGCACAATTTTGAATATTGAAGTTTTTGTAATGTCTTTTGGAATGTGAGAAATTATCAATATTTGATTAGTATTGGTTTGTAACCAAGTAGAGGTTTTTATTATTAATAGTTTTTCTGAATTAACGTGTTTTAAAATATCGTGCTTAAGAAATTTATGGTTAAAAATGCCTAGTCTAGTAAGTTGCATGCCTAGTTCTAAGACTTCTATATATTCATTGAATTCTTGTAGATTAAAATTAAGTAATGCTAGCCTTTCGTCTACATCATGACCAAGCTTAAATGATTTATTGTTTCAATACCTTTGTTTAACGCATCTATTACTTTATTAGGTTCGTTAACTTGTATTGTGTTTTGTGCTAAATTTTAAATGTTATTTATTAATTCTTCATTATATTGTTCATCTGTTTTTTTTTTCGCGCGGAGTCCCACGGATACTTACCCGCCCAACCGACCGAAGAGCGCATCCGTTTTGTGCTACACGGTACGATTCGCGAGCAGATAGACGCGATATAAGAAAATATAGGTAAAAGTCCGGTGAAAAAAGTAATAGTAAGATCAATTTTGTGCCAATGAAGCTAGTATTACACGTTTTAGGAGCGGCAGAGAGTCAAGATTTGAGATTATAGGAAAAAGTCTATTATAGTCAGAACATAATACTCTGAAAGGCTCATGCAAGGCATATTTAGATCTACAATGATTTAATATTGAGGGAATATAATTTCAAGTTAATCTACTTAGCACAGAAAAGTTTAGCCGACTAACCAAGTCGGGGCAGTCAATATCACCATGTATAAGGTTATAAATGAAGATAGACCAAGCATCGTTCTACGGTTGGCTAGGGGGTAAATTAATCAACAGAAATCTACTAGAATAAGAAGGTAAGTTAAGATTTGCATCCCAGTTTAGGCGCTGTAAAGCAAAAAGAAGAAAGTTTTTTGTACTGATTCAATACGAACAATATGTATTCCGTATTGTGGACTCCAGACGAGAGACCCATACTCCAGAATCGGACGAACTAGCGAAATAAATAATGCTTTAGTGACAAAAGGATCATCGAATTCGTTTGACCACCTTTTAATAAATCCAAGCACTCCCCTGGCTTTTTAACCATGGACGAAATGTGGTTTGAAAATTTTAGTTTAGGGTCCAAGAGAACGCCAAGATCGTTACCAAGAGTTATTCTATCCAAAGAGCTGCGTATATCGGATTGACCCGATTAAAAGTCATCAGCTTGCACTTGGAACCGTTTAAATTTAGTAAATTTTCTCGGCATCAGTTTTGAAAATTATCTAGATCGGATTGTAAGTCTAAATGACAGGAAATGTCCTTATACTGCAGGCACATAAGTACGCGAGAATGACTTATAATTGAGGGAATATCGTTAATAAATAATGTAAAAAGTAACGGACCCAATTGGCTCCCTTCTGGGACACCGAAGGAGAACACGGATAATTTCAGAAATTGAATTTTTAAAAAGGACCCTTTGTGACCTGCCATTCAGATAACTTGAGATCCATTTAAGGAGATTTACTGAAAAACATAACAGCTCAAGTTTTTAAACAAGAAGTAAGCTATTTACAGAGTCAAATGCTTTACTAAAGACGGTGTAGATGACGTCTGTTTGAAAACTACTATTGAAGCCTTTAATCACAAATGTAGTGAGCTCTAGAAGGTTTGTGATTGTGGATCTACGTTTAATTAATCCGTGTTGACACGGAGAAATGATTGACCGATGTTGACCGCGTGTCCTTCAGTAGCGATGGCGTCACGCAA